TATATTTATTTTTGTTTTCTAGTCATATGAAAAGGTGTCATGTTTATTTTCCTGGCTCCAAGAGTCGTTTATGGTGTTGAGAATTCAGAGAGGGTGGTTCCTGTTTATTTTAACTTGAGTGTTGAGAAGTTGGTTGTTCGCCGTATTTGCGTCTGAGTACTTCTGAGCCCAGAAGGCAGGCGGTGCTCCCTGGCCTGAGAGGCTGGTGGACTGCTTAGCTCTTGGGGCAGAAGGGCATATATAAATCCATGTGGATCCATGTCAGAAACTGTAAAGGGCTGACATGTACCAAGAAAATGAGAAGAGATGAAAGTTCAGTCACAGGGCAGTAGCTTTGGGGTGTGACGGCAGTGTGCATGCCAGAAGACGAGTCATGCCTTCTGAGGAGGATCTGTTGCTAGTGATGCGGAGGCTGGCCTTGGGAGCCAAGGGATTTTCATGTCCCCACAATCACAGACAGCCCAAAGAAGACCACAGGGTAGAAGGTATCTCCTATTAATCCCCGCTGCATCCAGGAGCATGAGCCTCTACCATGCGCACATCATGACATGTTTCTCTTATTCTCTCCCAGTGTATAAATTTTTAAAATAAGCATCAGAGAAAAATGATAAATATATATAATAAATGATTTTTATGTAATTAGCTACTAAAAAGAAAATAGACTGTTCCTACCAGTCTACAACAGATGTCATGAGAGCAGAAAGGGGACCATTGGGAGAGGAAGAGAGCTAGCAGGGGACAGGGCAAATTGAAAAGTGCAATATACACTGTGTATGAAAATGCCATAGTTCAGTATATAAACTAAACATTAGCAATAAAGAAATAGTAAATGTGGTACAGAATTAAGATAAAGATGGAAATTACTGAAAGTGTGTAAATATTAAAAGAAATTCTAAGTGGCTATATAACTCTGGGATGAAGTACAAAAACCTTCTTAATGGGAAAAAAAAAAACCAACAAAACCTTAGACTCCATAAAGGGAAGAATAAAAAATTTGAGCCAAAATGAATTAAAAATGAATGTGCAGCAAGAGGCACCCTGGTTAACTGCATGAAAACTGGAAGGAGGGATGTTTATAACATACCATATGCAGACCATGCGCACAGAGCTCCTCAGACTTTTTAAAAGCCCAGTAGAAAAGTGGGCACATGATGGGTGTGTCTTTGGGAGACATTCTGTGAATATCAATCCCCTTTGTAAAAAGTTGAGCTTCTCTGAGAAGTACAGATGAAATCGACTCTCATCTCTGGTCTGTTGTATTAGAAACAAGCGTGTAGATGTAACCAACCTTCTTATTAAATAAGAAACACAGAACCAATGCAAAGAAGAAAGCCAAGAGGTCAGAGCTAAGAGCTAAAACCTTACCCTTCCTCCTGCAGTGGTCCTACCTCTCCGAACCAGAGCTACCCCTGTGTTAAAGTCTTTATATAGAGTTCCTGTCCTGCCTTCTCATTGGTTGTAAACCCAGCCACATGACCGCCTCCTCACGGCCTGTCTGTATAGGCCTCCAGGTTTTCCATGATTGGTATTGAGATTAAAGGCATGTGTATCCAATAATGGCTGTATCCCTGAACACACAGAGACTTACCTAGCTCTGCCTACCAAGTGCTGGGATTACAAGCGTACGCCACCACTGCCCTGCTTTCCTATGGCTTGCTAATAGCTCTGACCCCTGGCAACTTTATTTATTAACATACAAATAACATTTTAATACAAATAAAATATCACCATACAAGCGAGATAAGTCTTTTCCCAGCCTTTTATTTTTAGGTAGTGTCTATCTTTGGATTTGAGAGAGCACTTGTTCAGCTATGTTCATATCAGTATTGTTTGTAATAGCCAGAACATGGAAACAACCTAGATGCCCTTCAACTGAAGAATGGATAAACAAAATGTGGTACATATACACAATGGAATACTGCTCAGCAGAGAAAAACAATGACATCATGAGGTTTTCAGACAAATGGATGGATCTAAAAAAATCATCCTGAGTGAGGTAACCCAGACTCAGAAAGACAAACATGGTATGTACTCACTCATAGGAGGATACTAGATGTGGAACAAGGATGACTGGACTGCTACTCACATCACCAGGGAGGCTACCTGGAAAACAGGACCCCAAGAAAGACACGGGGATCGCCCAATGACGGAGAAATGGAAGAGATCTACATGAACAGCTTGGACATGAGTGGGGGTAATGAAGGGCGAGGGTCGAGGGAAAGAGAGCTTGGGGGAGTGGAAGATCCCAGCTGGATCAACAACAGAGAGGGAGAACAAGGAATAGGAGACCATGGTAAATGAAGACCACATGAGAATAGGAAGAAGCAAAGTGCTAGAGAGGTCCCCAGAAATCCACAAAGATACCCACACAACAGACTGCTGGCAGTGGTCGAGAGACAGCCCGAACTGACCTACTCTGGTGATGGGATGGCCAAACACCCTAATTGTCGTGCTAGAAACCCCATCCAACTACTGAGGGATCTGGATGCAGAGATCCATGGCTAGGCCCCGGGTGGATCTCTGGGAGTCCAATTAGCGAGAATGAGGAGGGTTTACATGAGCGAGAATTGTTGAGACCAAGGTTGGATAAAGCACAGGGACAAATAGCCAAACGAATGGAAACACATGAACTATGAACCAATGGCTGAGGGGTCACCAACTGGATCAGGCCCTCTGAATGGGTGAGACGGTTGATTGGCTTGATCTGTTTGGGAGGCATCCAGGCAGTGGGACCGGGTCCTGTGCTCATTGCATGAGTTGGCTGTTTGAAACCTGGGGCCTATGCAGGATCACTTGGCTCGGCCTGGGAGGAGGGGACTGGACCTGCCTGGACTGAGTCTACCAGGTTGATCTCTGCGGGGGAGGCTTCGCCCTGGAGGAGGTGGGAATGGGGGGTAGGCTGGGGGGAAGGTGAGGGAGGCAGGAGGGGGGAGAACAAGGGAATCTGTGGCTGATATGTAGAACTGAATTGTATTGCAAAATAAAAATAAAAATTAAAAAAAAAGGATCAATACTAAGCAGATGATAAAAAAAAAAAAAAAACCAAGCGAGAGACTTGAACACTGGATATGAGTGGAGGAACTCTTAATGGCTGATAGGAAGAATGAGTTTGCACCATGTAAATGATACACATTCTTCATTCCATCAGTTATACTTTTACAAATACAAATTCACAGTCCCCTTTCAAAACTTTAGAGCCCATTTGTGTTTTGGAATCTAGAGATTTTTCAGATTGTATAAAAATACAGCTCACATAGTATAGCTTATACAACACCATCCACAGGGTGGGCTTGGAGACAGACCGGCGCCTTTTGCTTTCTGGAGAACAAATGAATATTCATGTCAATAGGTCATCTTTGGTACCAACTGAGTCAATGCCAGAGCTTTCAATTTTTTTTCCTTCAGGATCTTTTAGATTTCAGAATTATGGCTAAAGCACAACCCCAGCAATAAAATTGAAATCGTCAGTACACTGGGTGTGGATGTGAACTAAACTCCCAGGCGATGATGGAATTGGAAAGAGTAGGATAAGCTCCTCACTCGTTCTTTATGTGCTTCTATAGTTTGCTGTGCTAAAGTGAGCATGGTCCTTCTTGTGGAAGCACTGTCAGTGAGTGTTCTCAGTTCTGGCCGCCTGGCAGCTCTCCACTGAGGCCACCTGAGCCCTTAAGGCCTTTCAGAACTGGTGCAGAGTGAGGACTAAGCCCCCAGCTAAGTTCACAGCTAGTCTTCACATAGTTCCTTCATGACTTAACACTGAAGCCAAATTTTCAGTTTATAAATATGTTCCACACTAGGGAAACCACAACTTAAAACAAGAGCTGCTGCTCTGAAATGGAAATCCCTTCACCTATAGAACTGTTTTCAACTTCACTCAGTGATGTTGGACAATGATGAAAGAAAATGGACTAGGCATGTAGCTCACTAGTACAGTACTTGTTTAACATGTGGATTTTACCTGAATAGTATAATCATAGTAATAATGATGGAAAAAATGGTTCAAGAAAATAGTATTGATTCTTCTCTGATTCATTGAATATCACTGTCAAGCTCACTTTGAGTACTTAGGGATATGATTAAAAATAGTACTGGGACAAATGGCACAGCTCACTTGAGAGCCTGTACCTGACATGAGTGAGTCCTTGGGTTCAATCTCTAGTACTAAGCCCTTACCAAAACAAAATCTAGCCACTTCTATCATAAATGTACTTGATTCTTGGACGAAAAATATATAAACTTACATGTAACAAATACTAATTAATATCATGTCTGAAATAATCATACTATTTGGTTTTATCTCTTAAACATGTACAAATACATATAGCCAAATGTAATGTACAAAAGAACTTTGAATATGTTATTGAGTGTAGATAGATTGAATAAATTCTAAGAAACTAGAAAATCAAGCATGTTTTATAACCATGACAAATAAGCCCAGAAGGAAAAAGCTCATGAAGATTGGCAGGAGTTTGTTTTATTTTTGTATTTATTCAGGTCTCTCAACTTTGACGCTCTAGAACACTTGCTTTTTTCCCTTCCAGCCCTTGGATAAAAATGGTTCCACTTCATTTACTGTGGAACATATTTGCTCCTTAGTAGTTCTTTGGAAGCCAGAATGAAATAAGCTTGCAGCTCTGGTTGCCCTGTTTTACAAGCTCTTACAGCTGATAAATAACAGTAAAAACATTGTGTACAAAAATTGGTGTGTTTTACTTTTCTAATCAGTTTAAGAAGCTAACTAACTACCTCTTCTCTTTTGTAGATTTAAATACCTTTAGCTTAAGGGAGTAGTCACAAAGATTATACCTCAAAATTTAGTTTAAAAAACTTCTTTAAAACTAAGTATAGTCAGTGTCTTAGTTAAGGTTACTGTTGCTGTGATGAAATACCATGACCAAAAGCAAGTTGGAGAGAAAAGAGTTTATTTGGCTTCCACTTCCACATCTGTAGCGAGCACATACCCCAGTTACGGGGGAGGAATAATCACTCTTGATTCAGACTTGGTATAACACTCATTTATTCACACAGTAAGATTACAAGCAATATTCATCCTGTCTTCCAAATGGAAGCAGGAGTACCTCTCCGGGTATACAGGTCCGGACTCGCCACGTCTGTTCCTCTGGATCTTGGGTCAGCCTTCCTCAGGTCAGCCACGTCTGCACTGGGGACAGGATCTCACGTCTCTGGCAGAGGAGAGTCGTCTCGCGCGAGGGCCTGACGAGCTCTGTTGGTCGGGTCTGAGGCTTCATCTTTTATATTCTTTCCTGGCTAGGTTTCTAGTCTTATCCCTACTTCCACACATAGCTTATAGCTTATCACTACTCCATTTGTGGTTTACTTACATCATTCTATTGCTTATCATTCCTGACCAGGGTTGTTCACCCTAGGCCTTACATGTGTTCCTTACATTCCATCCCCTGATGCCTGAAATGTCTTCAACATAAAAGGCATCACATGAGGTCGCAGCCTGGAGATTTACAATATGTTATCCTAATTTGTTAATCCTAGCATTCTTATCCTTCTCATTCTGGGTGGTTTATTTTTATGTTTTTTCTCTATATATGCATTATATAACTTCAACCAAGTGCTATAAGCTGCAAATTCTTTTAACACATCTATAACAAAATCTCTACACAATATTCTAGTACATATGCTTTGTAAATACATTGGTTCTCCTGTTTCCCACTGTGGGTCATTCAGGAAATCTTTATCAATGCTTATTATTGCTTCATCAGGATTATGTTTTAGCCATGTTCTATATGTTTCATATATTCTGTGATTACCGCGGCCCACATATGCTGCAGCTAAAGCTGCGCTTATATGTAGGGCTGCATCCATGTTATTTCTGTGTATTTTGTACATTCCATTCACTTTATATACACTAGATTGTATGGTTCCATAATATCTCATGTATCCATCTCCAATTAATCTCATATCATGTATACCTCCTTCTATTGTCAAGTGGAACGTTAAGTGCATCAAGAGCATTGGGAGGTTGTCTACCTCACCTGGTTCTGATAGGTAGAACATTGCATATTTATGGGTGCAGTATTTGCATCCCTGTATCGTTCCTGCCATAGATAATATACCTATTCTATAGAAAATATCAGACAATGGTTCCATATATTTTTGGTATGTGGTATATAGTAAATTACTCATTCCATTTTTACTAAGTAAATCGAAGCGTCTGCCTGACGGATTCCAAAGTGGGTTTCCTGTTACTTGATTCCTGTAAGACATCTTAAGCATGGAGTTATTATCAAGCATTTGATTTTTTTAGACAAACATAAAGCAATACTTATCCCTAAAATTACTAAAAACCAAAAGGTTGCTAACTTTATCCAGTGCCACCATGTGTAAATTGGTGTACATATTAGATCTAATCTGACTAGTCTGCCTAAATAATCCCAAAAGCTGCATTTCTGCATCTGTTTTGCCCAGTCTTTATGTATGTATGTATTTGTTCTTAACAGATTCACTAGATTGTGCGTTTGTGCTTGTGATGTATGTATGGCTGCATCTTGTTCTTTAATTTTGTTATGTATGGATTCCAGTTGTTTCTGATTGAAATCTGCAATGTGCTGTAACTCCATTGCTTGTTTTACAAATGTTTGGTGATGTTCTAATTCTGTTGGGTCATTAAATAAGTGTGAGCCATCAAAATAATGTTTTTCTTCTAGTGTTAATGTGGTCACTCTTTGTTTGGTTATGTTTTTACCATCATAATTAGTGAAATTCATATGTAGGATGCTACAGTTGTGTACCATATAGCATCCTGATTCTGTAATATTGAATGTTGTGATATCATCATTCATTGTGGTTTCATTAAGATTTATGCAGCTAACTAAAGTAGGTAAATATTTAGCACATATCAAGAAAGTGTAATCTCCCGTATCTTCTAGTGACTGTGTGATAGTAGTTACTGCCAATTGACTAGTTTCAAGTGTGCTTTCTGGTAAATGTGGATAAACGTATGTATTTGCTCCTAATGATATGGAGTCTTCTAATGGTATGTACACTGGTGTGTCATTCATATTGGTCCATAAGTAATGGTCTATGGGTACTAAGTATTGGTGGTTCCATTCTGATACTCCTGTTCTTTCAGTATATAGCTGTGGTATCGCCTTGGAATGATATGCTGAAAATGAATTTTGTAAGAAGATCTGTACTAAATGTATATTGCATAATCCATCTGTGCATGAGCTTTCATATTCAGGGTTTAGTATACTTTGATATTCTCTTGTTCTTCTCCCTAACCCTGTGCTAAATAAACTATTTAATTCATTATTCATATTACTGACTTGAGTTCGATACATTTGACACATCATCATGTTATGGTTAGTATTAATAAGTTTTGCTTGATAGGAGAATTGTTCCTTATAAAGGTCTTGTGACATTTTTATCTCGCCTTGCATAGTTTGTATTAGTGTATGCATGCCATCTATAGAATTTGATATAGCTGCTAAAGCTTCTGCTGTTTTCTTATTTACTTCTTGTATGTGGTATATTTCTGCCTTTATTGGTTCTATCATTGCTGCTGATACTCCTCCACCCATTATTCCACCTAAAATTGCTCCTGCCATAAAGGCTGCTACTGCCATTGCTTGTAGTGGTTTTCTTCCTACTCTTGTTGGTGATGAGTAGTCTAAATCAAATCTAAAATTCACATCACTACAATATTCTATAGGTGGTTTCAGTGCTGTCAAATCTATTGTAATTTCAATTTTTCTAATCCTAGGGTATAAAACTAATTTAGCTGGACTTTTTAGGTCTGGTATAATAGCTGGTGCCTTGACTACTGTTGGGGTTCCTTCTGGTGGTATTAGGTATCCTTTTGGAAAATGAGCTGTATATAATCCAATATTTTCTTTATTTGGTCTGGTCATATTTCCTCTAAATATAATTAATGGTGTGTTGGAATGTTCGCTGAGAAAATCCTTATTTCTTGATATCGGGAGATAATATATTTTATCCCAATATTGTGTATGTGATTTCATTGATCCTCTAGGTTTGTGTGCTACCCATTCAGCCTTATTCCATTCTTTATATTGTGGATTTGGCATTAACATGTAGAAATAATATGGGAGATTATGGTGCTGTAATTCAATTACTCTATCCATTTCATAATCCAAAGTTTGCCAAAAACTCCCTGATCTAGTTATCCCATTTTTATAATGTACCATTAGGTCATCTGGATCCATAACCTTATTGATTCTCATAGCCTTTGTCATTTGTACATATGGTGGGATATATTCTACCTCCCTTATACCTGTGAAATTGTATGCCTTTTGTTCAATTGCCCTATTAAATATGAAAATATTTTTTGCTGCTACTTCATCTGTAGTAACATTGGCACTGACTTCCCAGGGTATGGGCATGTCCAGTAAGTCTTTAGATTCGTGAAACCAGCAAATTGATATCTTACTGCCACCTAGCATGTTATGTATTTTATGTTTTGGTTCATGTATCATGCCTATGGTTAATATTGGTGTGCTGTCAAATTTTACTAGTGACATATGTTTGTTTATTATGGTAATTTTACCATATATATTCAAATTTATTATTGTGGTTGCTTTATTTGTGGTACAGTTAGTCCGTACCGCTGTATTATTTGTTTCGGTAAAGCATGATAATTTGTTTCTCAAGCTTGTGGTACCTTGTGTTAGTGATTTTGCTAAGGTTAGGTTAAAAAATCCCAAATTATTTGCTTGCGTAAAATATGTTGGATATGACTGTTGGTCGTCATTAAATCTCATTATTGCCTGGACCTGTTTAGTAGCTGTTATATTTGCAGTACTGTCCACAAAAATTCCTAGCCATGGTATTTTCTGGCCTATTATATCTGTGATTGCTATTAAATCTTGTACTGACCTTGATGTTCTTCCAGTAAATAAAGGTCCTACATGTAGGTCCACTATAGTCTTTGTATTGTTGTTTTGTCTAATGTTTGTATTTGCTTCGGACATATTTATACATGCATATGCAAAAGAGTGTTTTTCCCTGTGTAATGTGGAATTTACTGTAAGTATGCAAATGTGTGTTATGGTGTCTGTGTTGCAATCATATTTAGGTTTCATTGTGTGTCTCATTGAAGCCCAAGGTTGTTGTATAATATCTGTAAGTATGATTGGGAATCTCCAATGTTCTACTCCTAATTGCAATATTTTTGTCCAGTCATCCCATTTCCATTCCTTTCCTTTTACTGATGGGTTATCTGTGCTATATAATACAGAGAAGTTACCATAGAATGGTAAATTGGGATAGTCTGCTACGCATAACCAGTTAGTATTATTTTGTCCTGGTACATCTAGCTTATGTTTTTGAATGTATCTCCATAAGTTATTGGGACATCTATTTCCCCAGGGTTTGGGTAATGGTATTATTCCAGATACTACTGGCCATGGTTTTACCATTTCACCATCATTGCATACTGTCCAATTCATAGGGTTGCATGGGTTTATAGGTGTTGTAGTTACTTTAGGTGTTGTACTAGCAGGGTAATCACCATCATAATAGTCATCATTGTAATTATACACTTGTTCTTCCCACCTTTCTGATGTCTTATTATACAGCATACCTATCTCCTCCATTTGTTGTGCTATTACTGGTGCGAAATATTGTCTCACAAAGGAGCTATTCATGCCTAGTTCGCAGTCAAATTCTGGTTCTGTCTCTATTCCCATTGTATTGGTCCTATAGTGTGAGTTTACCCTTAATGTGTTTGTTCTGATATGTGAATTCTTTGTCCAATACATGTTGTATATGGCTGCGTGATTGGTAATGTTGGTCCATAATTCATTGTAATGGCATTTTAACGGGTTCTGCTCATGTATGTTGGTGTTAACATCATCCCCTGATTCTAACATATATTCTTTGTTTGGATGGTATATGCTAAGTGCCATTCTATATTGATCGCAACCCTTATACCAGGCATATGTTAAACATGCTGCATATTTTTGCCAAAAACTGTGTGTTTTTCCTATGTAATGTGTAAATCTTCTCTCTGCTGACCAATATAGCGGTAATTTGCCTTCTAGATCATAAATTGTTGGTGTAGCAACGGTATTCTGTTTCCTAGTGCCCACTTGTATAACATGTGGTGTGGTGGTGGGTCTGTTTGTTGTGGGTGTACTGTCCAATAGGGCTGGCATTGGTATGCTGTTATTGCCATCACATCTGCTAACCTGAGACAGAAAAATGAGCACACAAAGGCTCCAATAGCATATAGCTTGCTTGCCTTCAATGTGCACATCACCTTTGCTATTCTTATTGCCTCCTGTGCAGATAGTGTATCCAGCATACCGTGAAGTTGGCTGTTCTGGATGCTGCAGAAGCGTATCCAGGATTGGTATTGTTGACTATGTTGTATGAGTAGCTTCTTTGGTAAATGATGTTACAGAAGGGAAAAACAAATTCTAAGATTGGCAGTACTATGTATACTGCAATAGCTATTAGCCAAATCGTCAGGAGGGTTGCCCTTATGAATATCACCTCCCTGACACACATTTATGCTATATCCTCCAGCCTGACTAATTTCAAGTCCTTTTTACCTTGAGTTATCCACACGTTGTTTCCTGTTCCTGGTGCTATTATTTCTGCTGGGGATAATTTGTTATTCTTCCGGTTCCTGTAAAGGCAATTAGGATTCCTTATTACTTCTCTATCTATAACTGTAGGATAATCTATTGTGTGTTGTTTTTGTATAGCTTCTTCTATTGGTGACTTCCTATTTATTCTGGGTCTGGTATTCAATTCATAAGTTGCTATTTTTATTGCTAATGACAGTGGTATTCCCTTATGCATCTCTAGCTGTTTTTTAATCATTCCGTTCCATCTTTCTATTGCTCCAGCTGCTGTCGGTGTATAGGCTCTATGGAAGTCCCATTGAATGTTTAAGTTTCTAGCCATTCTTTGTGTTTTGGCTCCTGTGAAATGAGTTCCTTGATCTGATTGTATTATATCAGGTATTCCATATGCTGCACACCATCCCCAGACTGTAAGTATTGTTGTGTTTTGGTCTGGGTGTGTGCTTTCTCGGGCCATCCCGAGACCTGTTGTTATGTCTACTAGGGTGCAGCAATATTTCCCCTTGAAGCTGTTTAACGGTCCTATGAAGTCTATTTGTAGGATTCTATTAAAATCCATTCGGTGTCCTATTATCCCTTGGTAATTGTGTGTTAATCTTGTAATAGCCTTTGGGCAATTGTTGCAACTATTGATTGCTTTCCTTATTGTCTGCCATGTTATCTTAAGATTTCTTTTATCGAACCAACTTTTTAGTGCATGTGTACCTATATGTCCTAACTGCTCATGGATTTTCAGTATCTCTTCTGTACTTATAGGTATGTCCTTAGTTGATGGTCTTACCTGTATCCATTCTCTCTGTATTTTACCTTTTCCTGTTTCTGGATTAATGTTTGCCTTCCATGTACCTTTTAACTTTATACTTAATGCTGAAGCTAGTTTGTCTACTACTTCATTGTTTTTACTTGTCTCATCCTGTTTCTTGGTATGTGCATCTACATGGTATACTATGATTTTGATTAGTCTGCTTGCTGCATCCAATTCCTGCCATGCTGCCTTTGACCATATGTCTTTACCATTAATTTTCCATCCATTATTTCTCCATTTACCTGACCATACTGCTATGCCATTTGCCACACACCATGAATCGGTGTATAAATAAATTTGTTTATAATTGTCCTTTATAGTTTGTCTTATCGCCAATAGTGCGGCTATAACTTCTGCATGTTGGGCTGATTTATCAGTGCCCTGGTCTGTAATGACCATTCCATCCCCAGGTCTATAAGCGGCTGCTCTCCATCTCACTTTGTTGTTCACCGTGGTTGCTGATCCATCGGTGAACCAGGCATTAACCAGAGAGGGATCGTACTCTCTAGTCCCCCAATGGCCCATTGGTACCTGTTTCTGGGGAGGGGTTGAGGTTGGGAAAATGTATCCCTCTGGAGTCATGGGCCTGTCGGACTGAAGTATCGACTCCGATACCGCTGGTACCGACCCCTTTGCTGACAGAGGTGTTGATCGAAGGAACTCCTGAAGGTACCATTTCCATTGAAGTACCTTTCCTTCCATGGGTAGTCCAGCCCATGCCTCTCCTGGTGCCTTTACCCAGTCCAAAATGGGTATATGTGATCGGAGAGTCACATGGTTCTCTTTGAGCAGTGAGTGGATTGTCCTGAATGCCTCGTAGGCTGTCCATATGGTTCTTTCGAACAGCGAATATTTGTTCTCTGACCATGGGAATTTCTTGCAGTAGAAGCCTATTGGCGTTTCCCTGTCTTTATTTTTTGAAAATATATTCCAATTACCATAACCCTGCATATACAAGATGTCCACAAATACGTGGTCACCGGGCTGTATATAATATAGGTGGCTATACTGGTTTATATATTCCAGTACCAATTTAACGGCATTTTCGCAGTTTTGGTCCCATTCAAAATCCTGTGCTTTCTTTGTTATTTTATATAAAGGCTGTAATATGATCTGTAAGTATGGAATATGTTGCCTCCAATATGCAAATAGGCCAATTAGATGTTGTACCTCAGTTTTATTCTGGGGTCGCTTAATTTGTTTTAATTTATCTATTATTGTTTCGGGTATTGTTGGTCCTTCTGTAGTCCAATGTACCCCTAAGAATTTTACTTCTGTTCCTGCTTTATTTACTTTTTCTAGGTTTATAGTCCATCCTTCATTTCTTAAATGTTGAATTAGTTTCTCTAATGTACTTTGTACTTTTTCAATGGCTTGTCCTACTATCATTATATCATCTACATAGGTGTATATGTTACAGTCTGATTCTGGCTCGAAGCTCTTTAATGTAGTTGTTAAGGTGTTGTGTGCAATAATAGGACTGTTCAAATACCCTTGAGGGAGTCTCAAGAATTGATATTGCTGTCCTTGCCATGTAAATGTAGTAAGTTCCCTAGATGTTGGGTGTAATGGGATTCCAAAGAACATATCACTTAAGTCTATAGTTGCCATTGCCTTCGGAGCTGAATTTTTAATTCTAAGAAAGATGTCTTCCACATCAGGAAGTTGTCCTGGAAGTTTAGGTGTTTTTTCATTTATTCTCCTGAAGTCAACTGTAAATCTCCATTTGCCATTAGGTTTCAGCACCGGCCATACTGGGCTGTTATAATTGAATGATTGAGATTTCTCTATAATGCCTTCTTTTAGCAAAGTTTGTATAGTCTCTGTTATTTCCTTAATACCTCCTTTGATAGGGTATTGTGCCGTGAAGGTCGGGGGTGTGTGTGGTAATTTAATAGGTTGTATTTTTACTTCTGCTAGATTACATCTGACCTTAGCTATTCTCTTATTATTTAGAAAGTCTGGGAATAATTTTCTTATTTCTTTAATGCCTAGGATATTACAGGGTGCATTGAAGCTAGCTGCTTCAATCTCATATTCCTTATTATATAATTTGAGTCTTAATTTTATTACTGGTACTTCTGTTTCTGCTGCTACTCCCTGTATTATAATCCTTTTATCAGTTTTAAAATGTTCTGTAAATTCCGTTATTATACTAATTTCAGAACCTGTATCTATTAGCCATTTTACTATTCTCGGCCCTTTGTTAGTTATTATAGGTATAGCTACGAATGGTCTACCAGCCGGGTTGATCAAGTCCGTCTTGGTATGTAGCGTCTGGGGGGTCCTGCTCTTGGGGGCCTGTGATTGTTCTGATTGAAAAATTTTGGTCTGAAATTTGGTTTGAAATTTCGATTGCCTAAAAAAGGTTTTGGTTGGCATGTCTGTCTCCATGGGTTGCTCTGTGTCTCTCTCCATGGGATATTTTTCCTTCCTGTCAATCTTCTAATTGGGTTCCATGGTTTATTTGCATTCTGTCTTATGGGCATTTGATTAGCTTTCCCAAATGGTCTTATGTTCGAAAACCGCGGTGTAAATTTCCTCTTGTCCTGTTTCTTATTAACATTGAATGATACTACCTTATCTATGTCCATTTCCCTGTAAGATTTAAAGAATTCCATGGCATCTGAGATGGTTTGACATGCCTGCAGGGGTCCAGCTAGGCTCATTTTAAGGTGTGCTGGAGCTCCTTTAATAATGATCTTTTTAAATTGTGGTGTAAAAGGTGCGGCTTGAGGTGTGGGTACCTGGTTGTATATGAAATACAATATGCCTAATTTTCTACATTGTTTTATGGCTTGTGCATATGTTGTCCACTGTGCTGCTGATTCAAATTGAGTGAGGTCTAATGTTGGAAATGCAAATCTCCAAGCTGCAGTAATCCAATCTAATAGTGGATGTGTATCGCCTTTTGATGTCTCAATTACATGCTCTAGCGCTTCTGATACTGAGGGGTTCTCTACTATGTTTCTGATCTTTCTCATTTCTAGATCAGTTAACATGACTGTGTCAGCTCCCTTTTCCCACAGTCGGCACATATATTCTGCGTCTTTCTGTCCATTTTGGGCATAATCTTTCCGTAATTCTGAGATCTCCTGAGGAGTATATGGCCTGATTTCCTCAAACTTCGTTCCCATTTCAAATTTGGGACGATTACTACCTCCTCCAGTGCTGAAGGGGTTCAGAGCTGATATAGTACTTCTAATAGGAGTTCTCTTACTTTGGGTAGAGACAGGAAATGATGGTACGGTGTTACATCCATTCCATCCAGGAGTAGCGCTACGCTCCTGTTCCTTCCTCACTATGTTTAAGGCTAGCCTTTTGCCCATTAATCTGTCCTTATCAATATCCTGCACCGTTTTCATAAGCAGTGCGGTAGTTTGTGCCTTGCTACATCCCTCTAATTCTTGTTCTACCACATCCGGATTTGTTAATGTGTTAGTTACATTTACTGATTTCATGCCGGCCTTATTTTTAACCTTGGAGGCTACTTTTCCCCACTGTTCTTCAACCTCATCTTGGTATTCTCTACCTGTCACTGGGGAGATGTTAGTCTTCTTAAATTTCTTAATTAATCTATTCATTGTAAGTGGTATACCAAGCCGTACAAAAATTTAATTAATTTTTTCCTACGGTACCACTCCCAGTCACTAATTCGTTTAGACTGATTCAAAGAATCAGTTATCAATTTTTCAAATTTCAAATCCGCAATCCTTTCTATCCTTTTGGCCAGCCAGCGCCTCATTTAGCTCTTTCCCAGCACCTTCCGCTCTTCCCCAGGGGTCTGGGTTGGCATCAAGGTGTCCGGTATTCTTTCGGTACTCCGCACCCTTAGGGAGGGTGGTGTTTCCCGTCTGCTTCTGATACTCTCTCTCCTACCAGTTCTTCCTCCTTGGACCTTCAGATTTTCTTTAGGTCCTCAGAGTTGACTTCGAGGAGTTGATTTCTCAGAGCGGCTTTGAGGTCACTTGCTAGTTTATTTGGTTTCCTGTAATTTGTTACTCCACCAGAGTAATAGCCAATTCTTTTGTATTACTTATTTTACATTCCTCAGTGCTCAGTGGTCAAGGAGGCTTTAAGCCCAAAATCCTGCCGACTACGCCAACTGTAGCGAGCACATACCCCAGTTACGGGGGAGGAATAATCACTCTTGATTCAGACTTGGTATAACACTCATTTATTCACACAGTAAGATTACAAGCAATATTCATCCTGTCTTCCAAATGGAAGCAGGAGTACCTCTCCGGGTATACAGGTCCGGACTCGCCACGTCTGTTCCTCTGGATCTTGGGTCAGCCTTCCTCAGGTCAGCCACGTCTGCACTGGGGACAGGATCTCACGTCTCTGGCAGAGGAGAGTCGTCTCGCGCGAGGGCCTGACGAGCTCTGTTGGTCGGGTCTGAGGCTTCATCTTTTATATTCTTTCCTGGCTAGGTTTCTAGTCTTATCCCTACTTCCACATATAGCTTATAGCTTATCACTACTCCATTTGTGGTTTACTTACATCATTCTATTGCTTATCATTCCTGACCAGGGTTGTTCACCCTAGGCCTTACATGTGTTCCTTACAACATCACTGTTCATCACTGAGGGAAGTCAGGACAAGAACTCAAACCGGACAGGAACCTGGAGACAGGAGTTGATACAGAGGCCATGGAGGAGTGTAGCTTTTTGGCTTGCTCTCCATGGAGCAGAACCCAGGACTACTAGCTCTGTTGGCTGGTCCCTCCCCAGTCCATGACTCATTAACAAAATGTCCTACAAGTTTGCCAGATCTTATGGAGGCCTTTTCTCAGTTGAGGCTCCCTCCTCTCTGATGACTCTAGCTTGTGTCAAGTTGACATAAAACAAAACAGCACACACAGAAACACATTTGCATGGTGTGTTGTTGCCTGGATTTAAGGGGAAGGGACAAAAGTAATGATTGCCCTGTTTCCTCAACAGCAGTTTTGAGGGCAGCTTTTTCTCTCTGTGGCTTTTTCGTTGTGTCTGTGAAACTGTGAAAAGGAACAGGTAAGGACTTAGTGACATGGACCGATAGACAACACCCTACATGATTAGCTCTTTGGACATTTCCTTTTCAGTTTCAGTCCTGTTAGGCTGTAAATAGAGTCAGGGATGCAAATGAGGAACTGCCGTCAACCTGGCTGGCCAGCCTTGCCCTGTTGAAGGGATCTTGAATGGAGGAGTGAGGAGTTAAGAAATAGTAGGAAGAAATATAGACATATACCAAGAAAAAGAAGAGACAGGATAGCTTTGGGAGGGCCCTGGGTCAATACCCAATCACCTGGAGTTTATTCTTAATGGGCTTTTTATACACCAGCAAGGGGAGAGGCAAGAGCCCCTTTCAAGATCAAAGTACAAAGTACAAACAAGTGTAGACCCTTTCTTAATTCTCTAAACACCTGGTAACCACGCCTTCTTGTAATTGGCCTTGAAGTGTAAGACACCTGATAACCTTGCCTTTGGCCAAAACATCCTATTATGCAGCCTTTGGAGAGCAATATTAACTTTGACTCTCTGACCTTGAGTCAAAATGGAAACAAACCACAAGTTGGAATCTTTGTGGGCTCCCACACCTGACCAGTAGTGCATTCCACTAACATGTCCCTGACCCCACTTTGCATCTGTCACTTGAGGCCCCATTCCTAACAAGTAATCGTACTTTGTTATACATGGGGCTTTTATGGTACCTAGTTTGAAGGGGATATCAAGGGTTGCTTTTAACAAACGATAGCTACTAATCTTGTCTCTGAAAATTTTGGAGTCTGTTTAATACCTGTACTCTCCTGTGCCAGTACTGAGAAGCAAAAAATGTGCCTTGGAGTTTTGAGTAAGTCACACAGTGAAAGCTCTTACAGTGCCGTTGTTGTCTGCTCAATGTAGTACTGTAACACAGCATCATACATTGCCATTTTAATGGTTAAGATTATTCTCTACTAGATTTTCTATCTTTATTAGGTTCTCTGTGGACCAGTGAACAGGAACAACTTTTCTTTTTCTGGAGTAGACTGCTTGCTTTGGAAAGTGAAGTTGGTCTTCATATTTTTTGGTAGTTTGGGAACACTATTCTGAAATTGTTTTCTATGTAAAATATAGGGTATTTGAAAAAGCATCCCCATTGCTAATGTTGCCACTCTTGATAGGATAAAATGAGTCAAAAGGTAGCAGTTTTTCTACAATACATTATTTGACCCATAGCTAAGAATTGTGACTGTTAGCTTTTATAATATATACTGATAGAATTCTATTCAACTTTTTGTTTTGGTTTGGTTTTGGTTTTTGAGACAGGGTTTCTCTATGTAGCTTTGGAGACTATCCTGGAACTCACTCTCTAGACCAGACTCTGGCCTCCTACTCATGGAGATCCACCTGCCTCTGCCTCCTGAGTGCTGGGATTAAAGGTGTGTGCCACTGCCCGTCTCTATTAAATTCTTAACAGGGATGTGTTGAAAGGTGGTAGAGTTAAGGCTGTATCCAGGAGTCACACAGCTTTCTCATAGCATTTTATCTGTGAGCTTAAGTGAGGTAGCTGTGGCTTGTTCTGCTTCTCTGATCTTCCAGCGTTCACCCCAATAACTGGCCTCAGGTTTGATTTTATTAATAAGAACTTTAAAGATTTCATGCTACATCTGGCGCCCAATGTTTGTGGTATGAATTTACGAAAAAACTGCTTACCCGTGGCCTTGCAGGACCCTGCTCAGACCCGAGCTACCCTCAGCCAGTTGTGGTGAAGCACACTGGTTGGATTTACTGAAGGAGGTAGAGGCAGGAAGATCCAGAGTTTGAGGCCAGCCTAGGAGGCTTGCTAAGGAGAAGCTTCGGCCCAGCCACAAACGGTGGCGGTGGGACCATGGAGGCAGCAGCTACTGCTCCAAGTTGCTGGCTTCTTCTTATCGTGTTGGTGACTGCGGTGATGCTGCTACCTGGGACAAAGGGTTTACCGCTACTTGTTCAGAGAAGAATTGCCAGGACCATCGTGTTACAAGAAAGCATCGACAAAGGTCAGTTTGGAAAAGTTTGGCAAGACAAATGGTGGGGAGAAATTGCTGTGAAGATATTCTCTTCTAGGGAAGGATGTTCATGGTTCCGAGAGACAGACATTTATCATATTGTGATTGCTCCAAACCACAGAGGAGGCACCAAAAAAAAGAAAAGAAAAGTCTGCAGGGAACCATGACCACGCCTAACAGCAACTTTGAAATCTTCAAAAGGATGATGGGACTTCACAAAGATGATTCCACATGGACTATGATAAAGCCATCAAGCTGACTAACACCACCAAAAGATTGACTTTGGACTACAAACTACTCAGGACAAATTGAGATGGCTAGCTGAGATGATCCAGCCTGACAGACTACTCAAACAAGGACTTGAGACAAGCCCTACACTTTCCCATTATGCAGAGACTGGACAAATGATACAGGACTTGACAATTAACCCAAAACTTTTCTTTTTAGGATTCTCTAAAGATGACTTCACCCTGAGAAAGCAGGAAGAAATTTTTAAGAAAACAACGCCACATTCCCAAGAGGTGGGGTGGGTAGTTTTTTGGTTGTTCAATGACTTATGGATAATTGTCATTGTTTATGATGGTTGGTTACAAGTTGTTAATTGTTAATGGTCAGGAAAAAAGCTAAACATGAAGATTAAATTCAGAGGTTTTGTTTTAAAAAAAAGGTAAAAGAAAGAAGCGAATATAGATATGAGGTAGATCATAGACTCTATTCTGAGAAAAAAGATACAGAAATAATAGGATAAATGGGTAGATCACTGAATCTACTCTAAAAAGAAAAAGGGAAAGATATAAAAATGACAAAAGGTAGATTATTGAATCTATTATAAAAAGAAAAATACTTTTAAAAAGGAACTTGTTTGACATAGGCTAAGTAGTGAAAAATTTTTTGTCTGAGTTTATTAAATGTTACTGGACTGGACA